ACACACACACTCACACACACACACACACACACACACACACACACACACACACACACACACACACCATACTCTGTATAAATGAAGCATCACACACACACACACACATACTCCATACTCTGAATTAATGAAGTGTAATGTTTCCTCTACCAGATGTTTCCGAACTTCTCCAAGGACTCCACCAGATCAGCCTCCACCACAGACTCACAGAGACCCCGAACATGGACCACAGGAGACGGAGCGATTCTGTGTGTCTCTGAGCTGCTGTCCTGAGGAGGAAGACATGACAGATCAACACTACACTCACTCATTCATTCATTCATTCATTCATTCATTCATTCATTCATTCATTCATTCATTCATTCATTCACTCATTCATTCATTCATTGACAGAGCAATTCTGTGCATCTCTGAGCAGCTGTCCTGAAGAGACATGACAGATCAACACCACATTCATTCATTCATTCATTCATTCATTCATTCACTCATTCATTCATTCATTGACAGAGCAATTCTGTGCATCTCTAAGCAGCTGTCTTGAAGAGACATGACAGATCAACACCACATTCATTTATTAATTAATTAATTCATTCATTCATTCCTTCATTTATCAGTTCCTTCAGTCATTCATTAATTCAGTTATTAAATCATCAACAGGGCTATTTTGTGTGTCTCTGAGCGCTATCCTGAGGACGGAGACATGACAGATCAACACCACACTCATTCATTCATTCATTCATTTACTCAGTTATTCATTTGTGTGGTTATCATTCATTCCTTCATTTAGTCATTTATTAATTATTGTATTTATTCATTCACTCACTCAATCACTCACTAATTCTGCTATCTATTCATTCACTCAGTTATTCATTTGGTTATTCATTCATTCGGTTATTAATTAATTAATGAGATTAGTCATTCATTATGTTTAGTCATTAATTCAGTCATTTAGTTATTAATTCATTCATTCAGTTACTCATTCATACATTCTTTTAGTTTTTTTTACTCATTCACACATTCAGTCAGTTGATTATTTAAACAGTCAATCAGTAGTTTGTTTATTCATTCATTCACACATTTAGACAGTCATTTATTTATACATTAATGCATTCATTTAGTCATTCATATGCAGTAATTCATTCATATATTTAATCAGTCATTCATACATAAATTTATACATTCATTTATTCATATGTTTAGTCATTCATTTATTCATACATTATTACAGTATGTAATGTATGCATTCATTTGTATGTTCACTCATTCATTTATTTAGTTATTCACTCATTCAGCTGTTCATTCATTTACTCACTCAATTATTCCTTCAGTTTTTTTTATTAATTTATTAACTCACTCTATTCATTCAGTTATTCATTGATTCTGTTATTTATTCAGTCATTCATTCAGTTATCCAATTAGCTATTTATTCATTCATTAATTTGGTTATTCATTGATTTGTTCAGTTATTCATTCAATTATTTGTTAATTCATTCATACAGTCAGTCAGTCAGTCATTTACTCATTATCAATCAGTCATTTGTGTGTTCATGTATTCATTCATATATTCAATCAGTCATTTAATCATGTATTCATTAATTTATTCATTCATATGCAGTAATGTATTCCTTCATTCATGTGTTCAGTCAGTCATTTATTCATACATTATTTCAGTATTTCATATATATATATATATATATATATTCATTTATATATTCATTCATTCATACATACATTCATATATATTCACTGACTGAAAATCAATTGAATAATAGAAATTAAAAAAATAAAAGCAGTACATTATACAAATGATTTTAATCAAATAAATGCAGAAACTCCTACTGAACTGTGAACACATGAAGTGAATGAATGTGTGAAGAGCATCAAAGTGAAACACACACACACACACACGTAAACACATTCCCAATAGAAGGAAGCGATGATCAATCATACAATATCACCCCAGAGCAGATGCTTTACTCTGCTGCAGCGGCGGCACAGATCATCTCCATCCTCAAGTCTGATGATGAAACATACAGCATCTTTCAGCCACATTAAAGACGACGTGTGAACACTGCTTTATTAATGTCATGAACTCTGTCTGCTTTGACTTCCTGTGACTCTCCGTCTCACACCAAACAGGAAGACCACACACCTAGCAACCAGCAAAGCATCCTAGCAACCACAATGTGCTAAGAATGCCATGGTTGACAAGATGGAGTCACGTGATCATGCAGCATTCACCGTCTGCCTTCCTCTATTTTTACAACTATACATGTCAACCACACACACACACACACACATACACACATATATACAAACACACACACACACACACACACACACACACACATTCACAGAAGAACCAAACAACTCTCTTAATCTCTCACATGTGTGTCTTTCTATTCTGTTACTGTGAGAGTGTATGGGTGTTTCCCAGCACTGAAGGTGTACGAGTTTGTGTACTCAATGCTATGTTGCGACTGGAAGGGTATCTGCCATATAA